GCGCTCGATCTATGTTTCTCCGAGCTGGCTTGATGACCACTCTCCTTCCTTGCCTGCTGGCTGACTCTCTTCGTGGTCAGGGTGGGTCTCCTGGCAACATGACTCGTCTTCTGCAGAGCAGTGCACCCGCTTGCAGCGCAGCGGATGAGGCCGCGATGTCCCAACTTGGTAGTGGTAATGCAGACGGCACCTTCCCCAAATATCTTTCACAGTGTGGCAAGAAGAACTACAACATTTTCTTTGGCTTCAACTCGAACAACTTTGTCAACTGTGTGGAGTCTGACACAGGACTCAGTAGCAGTTGTGCAAATTGCTTTGTGGGTTCAGCTCAATATGGCGCAGACAACTGCAAGTGGTCCTGCTTTTGGGGTTCCTGGTGTGGCCAAAGCTGCTTGAATTGCGTTGCAAGCTCAACTGCAGCAACACAGCAATGTGCCGGAGTTCCTGTTCCTCAGGCAACGTCGTGCTGATGAGCAGGAAGCATGTAGTAATGTAGTAGAGCAATCATGAGACTTAATAGCGTGTACAGTCTCCTGTAAAGGAAATGGTCGCATGACTTTTGTGGCTGGCAAGGACCATGCCATCCTGGCACATGAGATTGCACAGATTTGATGCCCTTTAAATGCTTTACTGTACAGGGCTCTAAGGGGAGATTGCTTTCTGCAGCAAGTGGCCAAGAGGCAGCTCATGCATGTGATTCAGGGCGTTACATGCTGAACCGACTGACTGCTGCAGTTGTTGCACCTGTGGGCTGCATGACTCAGGTGTTGGCCAGTGCTTTTTCGGTGGGACTTATGCGGCCTTCTTTGCTGCTGCGGAAGCTTTCAAGACTTCTGGTGGGGATCAGGTGCCAAAGCCTAAGAGATTTGATTCGAGGCTGATCCAATGGGACATCACCTCACTAAGCCCAGATACTGTCAAAGCATTGCATCTCTCTCTCTCTCTTTTTTTGTTCTCTATCTATCTATCTAGCTATCTATCTATCTATCTGTCTATCTGTCTATCTGTCTATCTGTCTCTCTCTCTCTATCTATCTATCTATCTATCTATCTATCTGTCTGTCTATCTATCTATCTATGTATGTATGTATGTATCTATCTATCTATCTATCTATCTATCTATCTATCTATCTATCTAT